GAATCATATTCCCACAGATTGGCTGGCTGACTTGGAGCCACATGAAAAATCTCTCCTTTTTTTGTTTCTGTTATGTTTTTAAACATTTGCCCCACGATAATATACTCTTACACTGTACCACAAACCTCTACACAAGACCTTTCCTTTCCCTGTGTCCTTTCTCCTGCTTTGCCTTACAAGTGCTTATGACACGCATAGTCATTTCTCCCTCCTCTGGGGTTCCACAGTCCTCCCTTAGCTCCCGTTCTTCCTCACCTCAGCCCTTAAAACACGACCTTTCATTCATCTACTTGCTAAATTCTACAGCAGAACCAGAGCTGCGCGGACAGGGACTTTATCCATGCTACCGCCGCCTTGTCCTCCATCCCCACTAATGCTGATCATGTAATAACTGCTTCACAGATACCCACTGGTAAGTCAGTCGGCTCTTTATGAAAAATAACGATACTGAGCTGGCGTCTACATATGCCGTGCCTAGCGTAATCCTGAGGTAGACTCAGGATGGATAGCTAGACTTTACTAATGAAGGAAATGGAGGTTGATGATTTGTACATAACTCAGCTGCATAGCAGCGCTCAGACTAGGCCTCCAAAGGTCTGGCACATTATTCTTCTCCTCGGCCCCTTGGGCAGTCTCCACTTGGATGCTGTCTGCAGAGTTACCCCAGTGGAGGGCAGTAGAATGAAGGTCCAACTACTCCTGGGTTTGAGCTCTGTCTGAGTAATGCCTACTGAGACAATATTAGTAATCTCTAACGAAGACAAGAGTTTGGATCAAGGTATTTAGGATTCCAGGCACAACTTCCAAACCCTGATATGCACTGGCACCCTCTCTTGACATACTCCCTTTATGCCAACACTTAGAATAAGAAGCATTTTCAGGGGAAATCACACAGGCTTAAGTGGTGCACAGCACAAGTTAGAAGGTCTGTAACTCTATAACCTAACCCATAAAGGCATCTGTTTTCCTGGCACACTGAACTGTTCAATGTGATGTATATAAAGCATCAAATTCAGTCACCACTCAACAAGGTGCTTGTAGGGGTTTAATAGAGGATACATGTTCTACTTCAGTGTCCACGAAGAATACTGATAAGCAAAAATTACCAAAGTTTGGTATCTATCATCAAATTTATCTTGACTCCTATAAATCACAAGCTATTATACGGTGTGCGTTGATGTGTTCCAGCCTTCTCCCACAATATACACAGACATACACACAAAGAAACAGAAGTAATGTCCTTCCCTTTTAGCAAAACTAACGTCTCTAAAGAAATAACAAACACAAGAAACATTTCAGAATAGAAAACAGCTAGAGATACTCTGTCTAACTATATTCAGGGATCTTCTTTAAAGTTAATACGAATTACTAGTGTTTAAATCATTATTTCTACCCAAACTAACTTTTCATTGTATGTAGGAAAGAGCTAAACATATATAGGTGGTGAAATGATTTTTAATTCCTTTTCACAGAAGATAACCATGAGTAGTCACTCAAGGAAATACTACATTGTTGTAGTGATGCAAACAGAGAAAAGACTAACATGGAAATGAATTGTACACTTATTCTGATAGTGAAACTTATACCCATTTCCTGCCAGAAATGCCTGCTATGAGAGATTTTAACTTTTTCATTTCAGCCAGACATGGTGGCACACACCTATGATCCCAGCACTGGGGCAGGAGGATTGTGGTGAGTTTAAGGCCAGCCTGCACTAAATAGCAAGACTTTGCCTCAACAAACAAACGAAAAGGGCTGGGGGTGTAGCTCAGGGGTAGAGAACTTGCCGAGCATAGGCAAGGCCCTGGGTTCCATCATCAACACCACCCCCCAAACAATTTAATTCCATTTCATTCATTCATCCATGGACTCAATGTCACAAGAAAATAAATTCTCATTCCATGGGAATTCGGTCAAGGGATTAGCTGCATGTACCCCAAGCAGCAACTATCAAGCAATTAAGGCCAAGAATTCACCATCTATCTAGAAATGTTCTGATTTTAACGAGCAGTTTAGATCACCATTTTTTGAAAATGACATTTTTCTCCCTCTTCATTGAAGTATTTACAGCAAAATATTGCCTAAGATTAACTTACCATATCCCTTTTTCTAACTTCAAATGTCCCCTGGGTTGTTTCGCTGCTGATCTGTGCAGCTTTCACACCTGTGCTTTCTATGGATGTCTGAGAAAATTTACAGGCTCTGACATTAAAACAGTCACATCTGTTCTTATTCTAAAAAATATCAACTACCTATGTCTTTGCTTTAAACAACTAACAAACATCATACACCCTTACATTTGTATAAAAATCTAATTTTATAATTCCTTACAAGCCTCAGCACATATTCAAACATATTCAGAAAGAGGAAACAATTCTTCCGAACCTAACACACCTGCGTACACACACAGTGACTCACACTCACTGGGCTCTGCCCCAGCGGAGGGATAGTGGATATTTTAAGTGGGAGCCTGGGATTTACCGTGCAGGAAACATCATAAGACCTGAAAGGACTCAGATCAAGAAAATATTGCTTCACTCCTCAAAAAACGACTAGGAGAGATTCCATAAGGAGGGAGAGACTAAAACCTAAAGACAGAGAGACAAATGGAAGAAAGAATATTGAGATCTAGACACATTCCAGAATCTAAACACAAAGATGTTTTGCATATGATAAAGCAATGATATACAATTATTGTTCTTTCCTTTAGTATTTTTACAGCTGCTCTCACATCCTCAAAGGCTGGTGCCCAGCCCATGAGCATGCCAAGGGCGGGTGCCAGTCTGAGTCTCCCCTGTTACTCCACACCACCATTTTGAAACTATGGGTTAGAAAGCATCAGAACAGGAAGAGACTCCAGGGAATCACAGCCAGCCCAGGACACACACTCAACACGTACTGAAGGAAAACACAGGACTTTGTTTCCATGAAAATACACAAGCTTTAAGCTTCAGGGCTGTAAAAAAAAAGATCTTCTAGAGTCACAAATTCACAAGGAGATGCTCCTATTTTCATGCTTGGAGGTTTGGTGCTACTGTTTGTTCTGAGCTGGGAACTGATGCTATCACACAAGCACAATGCCATCAGCAAACTACATGTAGGCTTTTTTCTCAGATTGAAATGTTCTAGTACCATAGACAGAGTTTGAATCAGCAAAATCATGGGAGTCCATTAAAAGTTATAATTAATAGTTTCATTAGTGACTTCTAGAATAGAAACCTTCTGTATTGCTTTGTTTCTTGGCTGAATATGTGAAACTGAAATCATGAGACCCCCTGTACCCCCTTGACCCTGGCAATACCTCAATCTTCTGAGTTATAATAACACTGTATAGTAGGCTACAGCACAGGGGTCCAACATTCCAAATTCCTTATGGGGGGCGCGTTCAGCTTCCGCCAATACAGTCCTGATTTAAAATCGTGTTTATCCAATTGTATGTCAGAGTCTGTGTGTTCTGTGATCAAAGGGGGAAAGGGAGGGTGCAGCCACAGAAAAGGAAGGAAGAGGCAGGTGAAGATCTTTAATAAAAGGGAAAATAAACTCTGGTACATAAAATCTACCGGTTTCCTCAACTCAGCTTAATCAGATTAGAAATGGCACGTGCAATAAACAGGACTATGCACAAGTTACTAATGGAGGGTCCAGGGAGCGACCGTGTGCATCTTTCCCAGGCGGCTCGAGTGCTCGCCGCTTCCACAATGCACGCTTAGCCCTTCCCCTCTGATCCTGCCTACTAGTGCAACCTGTTCAGCCGTCTGCCACCCTCTTGTATTGTCTTCCAATTTCCTGGAACTTCAAAATCAGAAAACAACATGCCCGGTACAGCCTATTGTTGTTCCTAGTTATTTTCTGCCCCCAACCATGGCCGTGTGACTTGCAGGACAGAGCCCTCATGCAAAGAACACGCTTCCCTGCACCACTGGTATCACACGCTTGGCTGTGGCTGGTGACCCTGAAAGGGAAGGGATGTACGTCCCAGGAAAGCCGAAGCCTTGAGTTCCGGTTCCACGTTCTGTGCGCTATCATGGGCAGGCATATCCCAGACAGCGCACTCTTTCAGCCTGGATTCCAGACTAACGAGGATGCTTGGGGCAGAGCCACACTTAGCCCACAGTCAGCTCACTAAAATGTGAGCAGGACTTGCGGTTTTTTTTGAGGACAAATTGCTGAGTTTTTTTTTTTTAACTGTCATGGCAAAAGTCTGCCAAAAATTGCTAACAAATTGTTGCCCCTATATGTAAAACAAGGGAATAACAGAGCACATGATGATCCCTTAAGATGGGATATGTACTCGTACCAACTCCCCATGATAAATGTATTCATTATCGATCACAAATACGCATCAATAAAAATGTTTTTGAAAATAAGCCTTTATGTGAAGAAGGAATTCTGACTTAAGTCTTCTGTGTTTCTCTCCCCCACACCGTAGACACTGAGTCTACAAGGAGGGACGTTTCATTCAGTGTAGGCACCACTGCTGTTATTTATGATTATTTTTAATTAGTACATGTTCGTGATGCATGATGAACATATTTATCATGAGAATTGGTACATGTACACTTCACATCTTGATCCTCTTTTTTTCCAGTACTGGGAATCGAACTCAGGACCTCGGGCTTACCGGGCAGGCACTCGTGCCGCTGAGCTATATCCCCAGCCCAATCCTTTCATTTATAGTTGTGACAACCATTCTCTTTGCAGGAGTTCTCACTGGCATCTTAACATATGGTCTATCAGAGGCATAATGGATCAGCTGTTTTCTTGAGGACTTACAAGCTATTGAGCAAAACAAAACAGTGAACAGAATTCTTCTATCAGCTGACAACCTGTACAATAGAAGAAACCCAGACCCTTTGCCACATGGATGCAAGTCTCACTTTGCAATAGAAATATGCAGTGTTAAAATATTGTGCTTATACTATAAAGTAAATAGAAAGTGCTCAATTTTTGAAAACTAGAAAACAAAATTTATCTAATTGTTTCTTCGAAGAACCCCTTACCTTCAGTAGACCCTTTGGTATGAAGGCGTTTGTTGAGTTCATCCACTTTGTTCTTCATGTGTAAAAACCAGAAAAGGAAACAAGAAAGCAAATCAGAAATGTTATTTCTTTTCTGCACCCTACTTAGCACTCTGCTAAATTTAAAAGAAGATCCTAAACTCTGCTGATATCATAAACATCCCAAGGAATTAATATTTTATCTTACACAGAAATGCTAAACTCTACTTCCTGATAGTAGGCATCCTCTTTAACCTCTCTCTATTAATCTGTTTCTTTTCCTTAAAACTGTGGATAAGCATTGTACCAAATTCCCACACTGGTAATGATGATTACATGTAATAATTACTCTACATAAATTAACTTACATATATGTAACCATGCCTCAGGAGTTCAGATTAACCCCTAGGTGTGCTAAACAATTTCCAAACTAATGTATAAATTTGCTTTTTCTACACCCACAAAAGTAATACCCCAGCAGTCTAAAAAACAATGGCTCAGCAACTCCAGCCACCACTATAGATTTAGCACACGTGCATAGAAATGCCTTTACAATAATGTCTGTCACAGCACTGTTTGTTAACAGCTAACATCTGGAAATGACCAGCGTTCTCAAAGAGGAACATGAAGAAAATCAGCATGGCATACTTAGACAACTAAATATAATTACAAATGAGTGAGCTAAAATTTCATGATATGCATAAATCTCTCTGAAAAACATGTGATAAAGGAGACCACTGAGTCAGGTAGCGTAGTACATTCGTATGAAATGTATAACATGCAAAACTATAGCTGGGTTATTTTAGGAACCATACTGAAAGCTACTGCACACTTTAAGAGATACATACAGAGAGAGGAAGAGTGATACCGAGGCACACAGGGGAGTTACACACACTGTATTTTGGATCCCAGCTAAATCTAATAGCAAGGAAGAGGGACAGGGAGGAGACGCTTGGGTCCAGTGAAACCATGATGCTTTTTCCTCCTTACAAGATGGGTAGTGGGGTGTGCACCTCGTTAGTCTTGCTTCTCTATGTCTGAAAGGTTTTTTTTTTTAAGGAAATAAAGGTAATCTCTTGGAGAAACCCACAGAAAAAGATAAAAATAATGCACAATTTCTCTAAAATAGTTTAAGATAAGATATTCAAAAGACTGCTCCTTCTCCAGAGAAAGGTAGTTCAGAAAACAAGCTGCAACTAACAGGTTGCTCTAAAGTTTTAGAACCTGCTTCCCAGGAGGACTTCCTGTTGGCCTTGGCAGCTCGAGTCCTCCCTCTGAGATCTGAACATCTCCCTTATAATAATTCACCTGCGTGGTTCTCAACAGGAGCAAAGGCAGGAGAGGGATAAAAATGGGAAGAAGGGCAAATGGATTCCTCTGGTGCTAAGCTGGCCTCAGGACCCGGACTCCCAGGAATCTGGGAGGGTGAACAGGGCAGGGCAGAGAGACTGGGCAATAAGAGAATTATTTTCCATTTCCCAGAGGCATAGTAGAAAAATCACACACATATCTATAATAACAAAGCTACACCACATACACCAACATCGTCCAACTCAGCGTAGCAGCACTGGGTAATTCCTGCTGGTAAAAGCACTGATTGGCAGCTATCAAGGTCCTGGCCACTACTCAGTGAGAAAGTTGTTGATCAGTGCTGGAATTTGCTATCGAAATATTGAGTGATTATGGTATGGTGGGAGGTCTCTGCAACGACACCACCCTGCTCTGTGTCCTCAGGAGCTGGGCCCTGGGGCTATGCTAAAGAGCAAACTCTGACATCCTGTTAAGCTTCACCCATGGGTGACACCTCCAGGGGAGCAGAGGGGAGAGGTGAGCTATTGTACCCACTCTTTCTCTGCCAGCTTGTAGTGCATTGGCTGCAGTCGTCTACCAAATACAACATTCCTTCCTCTCCATCTCTCTCTCTCTCTCTCTCTCTCTCTCTCCGGGTAACCTGCTCCTTCTCCTTCCCTTTCAGGTGGTGAGGTGCCCTGCTTGTCACAGCTCCTCACAGACCTCCATCCACCCGGCGCAGCCTTTGTGACTCGGCCTCTCATTACACACGATCGAAACAATCCTTTTCAAAAGTGCCTTTGAAAGCCTCGCCAGCACAGGCTCTTGTTTAGACGTCCTCTTGTGAGGACGAGAACTGACAGCCCTGTGATCCGTGAGCCAAAGAAAGACAGAGCCCCAGGCTGGGAGCTGGGACTCCGCAGAACAGCCTCTGCCCTTCCTTCCCTGCACCTGCTCTGTCCAATGTGACTCTTCAAACCTCAACTTCAAATAATGAGATTAGAATTTCAGTTTTGGCGGTCACACTAGCCTGGGACTGCATTTCAGATGGCGGCAATAGAAATCATTTCACCGTCACAGGAAGTTCTAGGGACAGCGCAACCCCACACCCCCAGCTCCTCCATGAGAGACACAAAGATCATTTCTACCTTTGGCTCTACTTTATCATCACAGGTGCAGCCCAGGTCGAAGTCCGACTGCAGGTACATGATCCCTGGGTAGATCGGCCTGGTGACCTCCTCAGGCATCACTGGCCGGAAGGTGTTGCTGCGCAGGAGGTGGTTCAAGCTTCCGTGGGTTCCGTTATTAGGAGCTGGCTTTAATCCCAGGAGATCTGAAGCAAAGAAAATAAGTCATAAGCTTCCTCTGTGTTGGTGGTAAGTTACAGAAAGGATCAAAATCTTTCCCCTCCCAAGGGTCTGTAAAGCCCGAACACAAATCAGAATCAGATGAGCACAGTTTAGATGGCAGCCCCATTCACGTTTGATCATAGAGAGAGAAATTTCCCAAAACAAGGAGCAGGGGAACAGGACCTGCTGAGCCATGACCAGCTCAAGAACGATTGATCGGTGTCAGCATCATCGCTGTTCCTCTCTGGGACTTTTTAAACCCAAATTTTAAAATGAGATCTATAATCAATAAATAAGCACAAGCTTGCCCTCTCATGCCCTCTTCAGAAGGGTGGGGATGAGAGGAGGCTTTGGCCGTGCGCCTCACAGCACCGGGCTGACTTCACAGCAAGGGATCGGTTTCCAGGCCGGCGCACAGGGCCTTGCCCAAGCCGAGACAGGGCAGGGGGAGCTGGCGGCCAAGATGGCAAGAGCACCCAGGAGCTCCGACTCAGAGGCTCCCCCTCTAACCACCAGACTGGCACTCCCTGGCTAAATAGGAAAAGCTGCCTTCATTCAGCAACTAGAAACTCAAGGAAGAAAAATAATTAGAAGCACATAAATAGCTGGCCAGGGTGCAAGCTGGCAAGGTTTTAACCGGGCTGCAGCGCGAGAGGGAGTGGGAGAAGGCTGTGTGGGAAATTCTTGCTTCACCGGGTCTCTGACCAGCAGTGTCGGACTGTAATGCTATGTTGGATCGGCCAGAAGCTGCCAACACCAACACCATGAAAACTCCCGGCTAGGCAACTGTTGATGAAGACAAGGAAGCCTTAGAAGAGGGTGGTATTCTGTCCTCTGAACCAATGGGGAGGTTGCACTGTTTTTCTGTGGGAAGAGTAGATGGTCTCAGAAATCGACGCCTCCTTTCTTTCTCTGACATTGAAGAAGTCAGTATATTAACTAAAGATGAGTTCGCCAGTTTCGATTTAAATATGTGACTTACCACACATGACATTGTAAAGTTCAATGTTTTCAAATGGAGGCACTTTAGTCTTGTATTTAAATGTTGGGCCATAACCTACAAAAACAGTCTTCCAAAAGAAAAGAAAACATAAAAACAATTAACCATTCTCAAGGTTTAAGACCAACCCTCCCTCTGTGTATGAAGATCACAGGACTTCCCCACCCTCTCCCTTCTGAAAATCACCAAAGTGCAGTGTCCATCCCCAGCTCCATGCTATACCTGCATGCTGTTGACCTTGTTATCAAATCCATGGTCCCCCTGGAGAACACACTTTCCTGCAGGTTTCTTATAAACATCCAAAGGTTTCCTGCTTGAAACAATGATAGGATCAGTGAGTATTTCTCCTGAAACCACTCCAATAAAGAGCCTATTTTAGGGTGCAAAAAAAGGTCTCCAAGAAGGAGTTTTTGAAAGGCAATTTGTCTCCTTTGCTTTGATAATCACCCTGGGATAAAGAGAACCTCCGCGGACCACACTGTGTGTGCCCCTCACTGCAAGACTGTGACGTTCACAATTGTGGATCTCGTTTACCTGCTGGTCCTCCACCTACCGCTCCTTAGTCTCAGGGCCAATCAATCAGCACGGGTCTGTGTGTGAAAATGCTCATGCACAAATTTACCCATCAGCACAGTCCAACAAGAGCAATATTACTAGTGAGCACCATATTGAACAGGAGTGGGGATAGTGGACATCCTTGACTTGTTCCTGACTTTAGAGGGAAAGCTATCAGTTTTTCACCCATCTTATATGATGTTGGCAGTAGCTTTGTCATAAACACCTTTGTCAGACGGAGATAATCTATACTTATTTACTTCAGGGGTTCCTATCATGAGTGGATGTGGGATTTTGTCGAAGGTTTTCCCTGCATCGACTGAGATGACCCTGTGATTTCTGTCCTTGCTTCTGTTTACACGAGGAATTGCATTTACCGATTTGAGTATGCTGGACCCTCTTTGCACCTGAGGAACGAAGATGCCTTCTTGGTCATGATGGGTGTGGCCAATAATCCAGAGACTGGCTGAATTCTGATTGCCAGCATAGTGAAATACCTAACAAAACCCTGGCCTCAGCTAATAATATCTCTACTCAGAAATAGAAAATGGAAACACTGCTTATTTGACTTTCCCTCTTATGACAGGAAGACCTCTTTTTCGTAAGTGTCCTATGGCCCTTTCCCCAAAATGTCAGTGTTTGTTAACATAAATATTGCCTCCATGCCTACACAGCATGAACATAAAGTGCTGGGGGTAGAAAAGACATCTAACAAATGCACAAAAAGTTCCTAGACTATGGGGTGATGATATACATGCAAATAACAACTCAGGAATGCCAGAGTGAAGTTCAAAAGCTCTGGCGCTGATTAAAACACCCGACTTTGGTCTACACTGTCATCATGTTCTCTGAACTTCTGCTCAACTCTTTGTTGTCTTGTCATCAACCCACCACCTGCATTAAGTTTGCTCTCTCTGCCCAGATGCCCCACCTATAAAGTGACCTTCAGAGGACACGGTCAGCCAGGACACTGTGTCCACAGCCGTGCGGTGTTTCTATGAGAATTTCTCGTGCCTATTCTGTGTGGTATCAGTAATTTCTGGTCTTCGTGGGTCTCACCTCACAGTCCCATGTACATAACTCTGTCTCCACCCCCTTTACAGCAGCAGTGGTGTGTGTCTGAGTTTGTCACCAGCATCTTCCTGAGAGTCCCATTCTGATACCCATCCCTAGAAGACCAACTTTCCCTTCTCTTACTGGTGACCTCATTACAGAACCCAGCTAGAGTGCCCGTCACAGTTCCTCCACCATTACTGCAGATCCACAGCTCTTCCTCAGGAAGAATATTGGACCAAGAGTGCGGGAGAAAGGATTGTGTCCCGGTCTGTGTGAAAATGAATAAACATTTACTGATCTACTATTTAATCCCATCCAGAGCCTCCACACATGTCCTATACTCAGTTCAAAAGCAAAGGATATTATCTTTAAAGCAGCAGAGTCTTTGGGGTTCCAAAGAAGGTAAACATTGAAAATACTGAAAGCAATGTAAAATATGTCTGCAATAACAGAGGTCTTAAGCTTAACATTTCTTGAAGTCCTCTACAAACATTGCCGCAGACAAAGTCACATCGACCAAAACCAAATCAGCACAGCGCTAGGAGAAGGTCTCAGCTACATTTTTGACTTGTTCAAGTAATAAATATAGGAGTTAGAATGTTAATCCAAAAAATGAAACATACACAGATACACTGTCCGGTCACAAAAAAGACACTAGGATATTGACACTGGGGAAGAAAGGAATGGGTTGCCTTGGCAGTAATTACTCATCTAGAACACAAAATCTTTGGAAATGGTGAGATTTCCACCTGCAATTTTTTTACTGATGACTAAGAGCCTTAAATTATTTCCAGTTGCCAGAGAATGGCTAGGAAGGGGACAGCCAGTCCCCAAGTTACCTCGCCACGTGCCACCTGCGTTCCACCAGCAAGTGGATGTCCTCGATCCTCCTGTTGTTGGCGTAGTGCAAACGTTTGGGCAGGTGCTGCTTCAGGTAAGGTTTGAAGTGCTGGTCTGGCTTTTTACACTGAAATAGAAAGTCAGTCTTCAGATGAAATGCCTTCTACAGCAGGTCCTAAATATTCTGTCCCTTCAAAGTTGAAGCCACTTTTAAACCAAACAAAAGAGGATTAGTGAATAGCTAGAATTTGTTGCTCCCTATCAAATAATACATGTTTAAAACCTTTAGGTTCAGAGGGGGTCAGATAGCTTTAGCGAGGATGAAGCAGGCTCTTGGGAAGAGTGGGAGATTCTTGAGACACACTCCTGCCTTGTGGGACTGGGCCCCAGAGCAATCCAACCCCAAGGTCTTTCCAATTGCTTCCAGTCAAGCAGTGAGAACAGGAGCAAAGAGGGAGGGTTATTTCTGCACAGGCCGGTCTATGGGAACATTTGAGGGCTGCACAGGGTGCAATGGGAAGGGATGATGGCACCGCTGCATGAGGGAAAAGAAAGATTTCTTTCACCCCAAATGCACATTGATCAGTTCCATTGCAAGGATCAGATGCTCTCCATTTCCATTGCTGCCAAAATCACAGCAGCGGACCCACACCAGAGGTTCACAGCTCTTGAGGAAACAAGCATTGGTGGGGGGGGCAGTGGAGAAATGCTCCTCCCGCTCACGGGGGAGGTGAACATGAGCCAGAGCCAAGTGCTTGGCTGGTGGGGCGCAGGCCTAGGGACCTGCAACACCTACCGTGAGATTGGCGATGATGACCTTAGGGTCGTCTGTGGAAAGAGAAGGAGAAAGATCTCAGAGACAAGGTTAGCATCACTGGGAGAAGTCCTTGCACAACAAGAGATGCAAACCCTCCATGACCCATGTTAATGTGTCGCTTTAATTGTATGTGGGGGCGGGATTCATATTTCAGAAAGTGACACGCAACTGGACAAGCACATCTCAGGGCAGACTTCCCTGCTAGGTCGAGGTCTTCTCCTCTGAAAAGGAATTCCTGCTTCGCAGCACCAGGGCACTGCTAGGCACATTGCCTCACGGTCCCCTAAATGGTTCTTTTGAAACACCGACTTCATTTATTTGCAATTCAATGTCAGCAACTAAGGTGGACATTTGGGGCTCTTACTGTAACTTCCTATTTATCTGCACAATTTAAACAGGTCACCATCCACTTTAAGATGAATCTTCCACGTGATATTCACACACAGTGGAGTACTACCCTGCCACAAAGAAGGGTGAATTTGGGTCACTTGTTGGCAAGTAGATACACTTTGGGACCATGATATTAAGTGAAATAAATCAGACACACAAGCTTCCAAAGCGCATGGGCAACCCAAAGTATAAATAAAGAGCAAAATAAAAGACAGATACTAGGAAAGGGAGGTGGATCTTTTGCAAATGGGAAAAGGACCACGAGGTGGGTTAAGGAAGGACATGTGAAAAGAATGACAATGTGCGACTCCCCATGAGGAATGTGATCATTATGCACGCCAGATACGGACTAATAAAATTTTTAAAATTTTAAGGTATTTAAATACAAAAAAGATGAATATACTAGACCATTGAGCTATGTTTTCAAAGGTAGTTTGTTTTCCTGGTAATCTCCGGGGTCTAATTACATAGGTGGCTGCTCCTTCCCAGGCCTGGGGGGCACACACATCGTCCAGGTTCTCACTACCAGCAAACAAAGATTATTTTAGTCAGTGCTCTGACCTAGCTATGTAAATGATGGCTGTGTAAAAACAGGATTATATTATCTGCAGGTCTGCTCTGGGGGCAGGGGTTGTGGGGAGAAAGAGGAGACTGTAGGTTGTTTGGATTTTGTTTTGTTTTCAAAAGCTTCTTCAGTCTATCATTATGGAATCAGCAGCGTTCAGAAGGCCCAGCTGTCTGCTCAGCCCTCTCGGCAGCAGAGCCCTCGCGCACAGCTGTCCCTGTTGCTAGCTGCACAGGAGGCTCCGGAGAAGATTTACTAGGAAACATTCCTCAGCATCTGCTCGGAGGTGCTGAAAATGCACAACGCCTCACAGCATGAACAGCCGCACTCCACAGCCTCCGCTCAGACTCGGTTCTACGGCTATGAAGTCCGAGCTCAGATGCAAACTCCAGGCTACTGCCGTGGCGTCACGTTTCTGCTGTATCCTTCCACGGAAAATAAATAACAGGAACAGGAATGGATCGGCTGATTGCGCAGACCCCCAGCCTGTTAGAGGAGCTCTGGGGGCGACTGGTCTCCCCCAAGCCTCACTAAGCCAAGGAGCTTTAGTAGGCAGTGAGCTGCTCACAGGAAACAGGACAGATGGGACCGGACAGGAAGTGCCAGGCCACTGAGAGCAGCCCGGGCTGTGAACCTCCACACGCTCCGGCCTCATAAACCTCAGTCCTCAAAGGGACCCAGCATGGTCAGCTCACGCTCTTTGATAGTGAAGACATAAAAACAGGCATGGCAATGCTGTACTCAGCCGGATCCCTGTACTCAGAGAGCCATCAGGAAGCAACAAATGGCTGCGTCCATGTTGGGGCACCTGTGGGAAGCTCCTCAAGGGCAGTGACAAGAATCGGCCTATCTGGGTTCAAATCCCAGCTCTGCCACTTCTGAGTCATCTCCCTCCAAGCCACTCCCCTCACCTCACTCTGACATTTGACCTTTGCCATCTACAAAGGAGATGCAAACACACATCCCACGGGACCACAGTGTGTGTGAGACACGGTCGTGCACATATTCGGTTGAACTAGCAATGTGAGGAGACACAACTGTTGTGCCTGATACATCCACAGCTCTGACTGCGTGCTCACCCCAACTCAAGGCAACACAGAGGGAACCTCTCCTTCAGTCTCCCCCAAACCCCACCTTACAGGTAAGGAGGATGAAACGGAGTGCTGAAGTAGCCTCACCCCGGCACACCTGGCAGAGCTGGGGTTGGAACCCGTACATCTGGTTGCTGCCTTCAACACCCCCACTTCCTCCGTCTGCCCCAAGATGAAATTACACACGGGGCCGGGGCTGGGGCCGGGGCTGGGGCTCAGTGGTAGAGCATTTTCCCAGCATGAGCAAGGAACTGAGTTCTACCCTCAGCACCATGGTAAGAGGAGGAGGAGGAAGAGAAAGAAGGGGAAGGAGAAGGGGAAGAGGAAGAGGTGGAGGGAGCAGAAGAAGAGGGGAAGAAAGAAGAAAGAAATCACATATGGCAGTGTTTGAAGAGCACCAAACATTGCATTGTCGGCAGCTATTATTTCATAGACGCCCAGCTTTTCTCCTATAAAACAGCCTCCCCGTCACATTTTAGGATGTCAGAAAAACCTCTCAAAACAGACAAACTCTCTTGCAGAAGCCCAACAAGGCGAACACTAAAACCAGAATGCATCTGAAGGACTTGCACCAGGCAATGGTGACAGCCACCTTTCTCCCGGAGCAGAGAGGAGCCACAGGGGACAGGGAAGGACAGGGAGGGAGTGCGGGAAACATCGCCGCTCTGTTTATTTCACAGCGTTGCCTGCAGCCAGCCTTGGACCGCTTCCCACTGGTACTGGCACAGGAATGTAATTTGGGAAAAGTTGAACTTTCCAAAACCCTTCGGCTTGGTGTCAATGGTTTCTTATTCCCAAGGCTAAAAACTTTAAAGGAACATTTTTTACCCAAAATGTAGTATCTCAAATAAAACAATGGACTTCTCAGAACCAAAGTAGGTGGCACCTTTTAAAAACCTTAGCACAAATCCATTCATGTCAGCAGTATATCATAACCTGAACGTATAAAACTGAAGCCACAAGCTTACCCCTGTTCATTTTTAATCTCTCAGAATATCCGCCAGCCCCCCTTCTATGATTCCCTCCTGGGTTCTGCAAATCACTTGGAAAAAGAGGACAAATCCTTCCGAAAAGCTCCTGGGAACTGTCAGGATCCAAATGGTTCTGTCAGACCCCGTTTTAGGCTCTTGAGGTCCCGCTAAGGGATCCACCTGGATTTGTTGTTTAAAAAAAAACAAAGTCTCCTCTTGTCAACACAAGCGTACAGGTACAAACATGCCTCCCCAAATTACATGTAATTTCCACATGATAAAAACAAGAGCAAATATTTGTACCACACTACTTGGCCAGGAGCCACTCCAGGTAATATAGGTAGATCAATTTCCACAACTCGGTGAGACACACACTGCCAGTTATCATCCCCATTTTTTCAGATGACAAAACTGAGGCTCAGTGTTCACATGATTGACTTCAGGTCATTTGGCTAAGTGGTACAAGAGCTCAGGTTTTGTTTTAATCGTCCCCGTTTGCAGAGCACGATGCTCACATTCATTGCAGGCAGCTGGTGCGTGCACAGCACACCTCTTCGCTCTTGCTCCACTTCCTCCCCTCACTCTGTCTTTTGGTCTCCTTCCTTTTTGCAAAAGTTCTATCTCTCCACTTCCTATTATCTAGCTTTGATTTTGCTCTACAATTCATTTATTGTTTGGGTTTCTCCTCTAAGAGAAGCCTGTGATATTTAAGTTCATGTGTCTAATTCATTTCATGCAGCATTATGGTCTCAAGTTGCATCCATTTTCCTACAAGTGAGTCAAGTTTATCTTTCTTTATGGCAGAATAGTGCTCCATTTTGTGTAAATATATTTTCTTTATTCATTCCTCTGTTGATGAACACATAGGCCACTTCCAAGATGTAGCTATGGTGAGTTGTGCTTCTATAAACACAGGAATGCTAAGATTTTTTTTTCCCAAGTATTCCAGTTTTGGAGAACAAGTCCTTACCTGTTCCACCGTACTATCACCCTAACCATTCAGCACTTTAAGAATCAACTTACATTTAGCATTATTGTTAAACTTGGGCCGGATTCTGCCCAGAGTTCCCGGCACTAAGGTAATATCATCCACGTTGGTCAGATAATTGCTTAGAAACTCAGTTCTTTCACAGGTGACATCTTCCATTCCTGTGGAGAGGGAAAGAAAAACAAGCATTTTCATGCAGCGTTAAAATTAAATCCTGGGCTGGGAAAACAGCTCAGCGGCACAAGCGCCTGCCTGGCAAGCACAAGGTCCTGAGTTTGATTCCCGGTACCAAAATAAATAAATAAATAAAATAAAACTAAAGCCTTAAAACCTTCACACAGACACCAAAGATGACATCCAGGCATCTACTTAGTTTTCACAACCTAGCAGGTAGAACCCTCACATTTATGATTCTTTAACTTGACTTGAGATGTTTTTTAACACTTCTTTCCAGAACCTTCCACTGGGCTCTGATTCAGCCTTATCATCTTGCAAGCCCTAGAAGGTTCAGAAATGCATCCTCACAATTATCATTTTAAGCTATTGAGCAAGAACAGCAAAACAAAGGAAGTAGCCATGTCTGTAAAAAAACAATTTATAGTCATTAGGAAAAAGATCTGGTCCTTGAAAGAAAGTCCTAGATTGCTTAAAACTCTTCCAGCTAAGGAGGGCATAAATAACTGAAATATACAGTTCGTTGTCTTTCACAAAATCTCACTTTTTCGCGCTTTCTCTCTCTCCCTCCCTCCCTCTCCCTCCCCACCCCTCCCATCTTGAGTATAATCAGCAGCCCTCTCTCCAGTAGCCTTGAATACCCCGACAAAACAATACTGCCAATGAGAGATGAGAAAGCAAGACGTCAGCTCCCAATGACCACCCAAACTGAAGAACAAAATAATGCTAGATGAAAACAAGTTGAAGCAGTGTAATTAGCCAGAATCGAAAGCTAGCAAGTACCACACAGAAAGTGTTGTGTAGGGAATTTTTTTAACCAACTAATGTGCCTCTCCCACCCCAAAATATGTTTTTTGCTCTCCCTCAAGAAGAACTCCTTAATCAATATTTTTAAAAAGAATAAAAACAAAAACTTAAATCTTAGAATTACAGACTAGAGTAGCTAATAGAGACCGTCATTGTCATTGGAGGAATTTAGAAGATGACATGGAATTAGAAAGGTTTAATGTACTGTAATCCCCCACAAATCCAGTTTCATTCACCATGGTCTGGTTACCCGTGGTCCACTAGCAGTACAAAAATGCTAATGAAAACGTCCATAAATAAAGAATTTCTGGTAGTGTGATGAAATCTCTTGATACTCTGCTATATCCCACCATTGTCCAGCATAGCCACACCATATATACCATCCACCCCATAATAGTTGGGAGAGAAAAAGGGAGGGATCATGTTCACATAACCTTTATTTAAGTATATTTTCCTGATTGTTCTATTTTATTACAGCTATTGTTCACTTTTCACTGTGCCTAATTTATAAATTAAACTTTATTATTAGTACATATGCATAGGAAGAAAGATGGTGTGTATAGGGTTAGGTGCTGTTCACCTCCAATGGTAGCCTTGGAACACACTTCCTTTGGATAAGGGGAGATTACTGGGTTGCACTGCAAGTGTACAAATACTCTCTAGAAGGAAAAACAGGTATTCTGTGAAGAGTGACCTAAGATTTTAGACTAAAGATATATAAGCCAGAGCAGCCCATATTTGGTAAAATTCAAATGACCACTTCCTAGAATCCCAGATCCATATCCTCCATCCTTTTGGTAGTGGTGGTGGTGGTTGTTATTGTTGTTGTTGCTGTTGTTGTTGTTCTTATTGTTGTTTAGCATAAATTGGAGTGGAGAGAAAAACATATTCCAATGTAGCACAAAGATTATGTACTTTATCCATGAATATTGAAACTCTGAGGAAGAAAAATTAAAACAAATAGCTAATTAAATTAAATAGCTACTGTGTTCTAGTATCAGATCAGTCCAAGAAGGGAGTGTCCAAATACATATGAATAGAAGGCTGGGAAGATCTTCATTCATTACCGTCTAGGCAATCACATAAGCTACTCCAAGGATGAACAATGTTCTCAACACTTCTGAGCAACCTGAACTTAATCACCTGTGTCACAAGCTCCAAATTCTGTCTGTATGTGTTGCTCTCCACTAAGTCAAATCCATGAAACATAGCTGTGTAAGGGTAACAGTGAATTCCCTCGGGGAGCAAGTTAGTCCTCACAGGTTTTTTTCCTTGTAGTTTCTCAGAGATGTTCTAGAAGGTTCTGGAAAGAAAACCTCAGCCCAGAACAGAAAGAGACTAAGGAAATTCACCAGCCATTCTAAATGGATCTGGCCAAAGAATCAACCACTTTTCATCTTCCAAACTACACTAGAAGGGAGTAGTCCCAAATTCCAAGGTCCTTATTTCCATTTGATAGTTCTGGAATGCAGTGTCTGTGAAATAATATGCTCTATGAGTTGCCCCCCTCAACCCTATAATCATACCATATTTATAATGATCTTGATCACCTCAAAAAAGTGGTCATGAATTTTTCTACCTAATGAGGTGATTTAGAAAAACTGCTTCTTCCTATCTTTAATATCTTCTGGATAGCAGAAAGGCCCTCTGTCTCAGTCTTGAATTCCCTCAGTGAATTTTGAGGAACCATTGATTTATCTGCACTTTCTTTGCCCCACCTCCTGTATTTAGAGCTTTTTTTAAGCACACAAACTCTGTGGGCCCCTTTTGATGATATGATCCACAGAGAAGGAGCTTATCACCTGACATGTCACATTCACAGATGAAGTCACTGATATCATCAGAGCAATATCCATGACATTTTAATAAGAGATAGATTTTTACAGAAAGTGCTTTCCTACAAAGAAAAGGAGAATATAGAAGTCCTTCCTTCTGATTAAAATAAACCCAGGCCACCTCAGGCTGTCTCAGAAAAGGACAAAGAAGTAAGGAATAGGACCTTGGATTCTAAGGGCTAGGATTCCATTACTCAACACCTACAGAATGCCCTACTTCTCCATTTATGAGCAAAGAAAAGGAACCAAGCTTTACCGTGGTCTCCAACAAAGATGACATTCGCACACCGGTGCAGCTTGAGTTGCTTCAGTCCATCCATGAGTTGCCCCATAGTTCTGTCAATATCCCTCAGTGGGTTTGTCATCTGGAAAAAAGACCATGTTAGACCTCACAGGCTTTGTTTGTTTGTCTCTTTCCTTTTCAGTTTCCACAGAGCTTCTACCCTAGAACATTCTGGAAAGAAAACTTCAGGCCCAGAGGCAGAGCTTTGTCTAGGGGAGAGGTTCCTGCCATTTTAAAGGGAAATCTGGTCTCAGCACTTTATATTCTTTCTGGAAAATTAAAACTGTTCCTCATCCAATCCCTGTTATGATTCTTTGACATAAGAATATCAGAAATGTAACTGAGAGCAATTATTTTTGTGAGGCAAAGTGACTTTTCTAAAATGTAAAGACGTTCTGAAAATCCAAAGAGTTTTAAGAGTGACCATGAAGTCAGATGGATAGTTTAAGTCCTTTACCTTCTACGGAAAATCACATTAGGGTCTGGACCATGGTAAGAAGATAGTGGCTAAGTGAACCGAGAGGAATTCTGAGGTTAAGAGCACAACCTTCCACTGGATTGTAAATTAGAACATCATGAATACATGTGAATCTATCACGTGTTATAGGGATCTTAACTGCCAACTGCTGAGAGCAACAGATCATTCATAGAAAAAAACTGTTCTAAGAAATACGCTTCTGCTCCTCAACTTAGTTTCTTCTCATACTGATTTTGAGCGAAATAAGAATCTACAAGTGTCCTAACCTACACAAAAAGGAACCACTGAGTTTGTACTAGAAGATTTCTCTTTTTTTGTACTAGAAGATTTCTTATGGAGTCTGAGGAAATAAAACTCAGTTCTTTTTTTTTTTTTAAAGACCATTTCCAGAGTCTAAAAAACAACCCATCTGTCACTTTTGCTTCAAATAGAAGTCCCAAACAATGTGAGTGTTCCCTCATAAGTACTACAGACCTTCTTTCTCAATTTCCTCTCTAACTGCAATGGAAAGATTTTTAAGAAACTTCACATGGGACAAACTCTTGACAGTATTTTAGAGGAACTGTACTGCTTAGCTAACAACTACACACACAGACCCACGGCAACAAAGAGCACAAGAGATCTGAATAGCATTTTTGCTTGGGTGCATAACATTATCTCCCATCAGCATCTTCCCAGATGATTCAAGACCTTTTCTCACGTTACTTCATCAGTACTATCAGCTGTGGGGGCCGTATTTGAAATCTTATCCCAAGGAAGAAGTCACAACGGAAAGCTTCAAAATGAGATGTGCCATGTAATCTTCCAGGGCTAACAGATGTGGGACTATGTGGTATTTGCTGCTAAGAAAATCATCCTCTTCTCCAACACCCTTGTCTAGACAAAGAAATACCAAATGCATAGCATATGTCAGTTCTTGGCAATGGCTTATTTTCCTCTACTTATCGGGACAATTCAGGTAAAATCCATAGCATGCTTCTCAGTGAGCGATTCAGACAATCGTAAATAAGATGCTGCCTCGGAAGCCGCTGAAGGTTTCATGACAAGGGACAGCCAGAGACTCTCTTGAAGATTATCCCTGTCATTGGGAGAAAACACACATGACTCTATCTGTCCTTTGTTTCCACATTCATTCTATCTCAGCTATTCCCTTGTCTCTATTCTAATACCTTTCCTGATCTCTGGAAGTTCGGATCACTCATCTAAGTCAACTTTCCATTGAGTTCTAATCTGCATTGTTTTTGAGCACTACCCCTGCTGCCTTTAGATTCTTCTCAAGATCCAGGGCCAGAAACCATTGTGCCTAAGCCTGTACATGACATGCAAGCAAAACCCACAGCCCTCTCCATCCCAGAGGTTAATACAAGTGTGGAGACAGATAATTCCACAGAAAATGGAAAGGTCCTTTTTGCTATCGTGCTGAAAGTCCAGGAAGTCTTCATGTCACCATTAACCTCTAAAGTGCCAGATTCTTCTGGCCCCAAAGCCAAGACTGACACGGCAGAGTTTTTCTAAAATGTATCCAGCCCATTTTCAAAGCAGGGCACCGAAGGAAACCTTTCTGCTCACACCTGCCCGCCACAAACCTTTGGAACAATAGATGAACTTACTTTGTCCTGACGGGTTTCCGCCGCATAATGATCCATCCTATGTAATTTTCTTCTTCTTTTCTTTGGAGGAGCAACTGGTCTTTCCTGTCTCCTCTTAGGGGCAACTTTCCTCTTAGGTCTCTTAGCCGGAGTAAGAGGTGAGGCATAGCTACTCTCCTGTACTGGCGGATAAAGATGTCTCCACTCAGAAGCCGTCTGTCCCTCTGGGGCAGATGAGAAAGCTCACGCTCGCCCGCCTTGGGTCACAGAGTCTTAGTGAGCAACACTATGTCTCCATCAGTGAGGACACAGCGGTGGGAGGGGCGACTCGGGGACCTCTATAGAAAGAGCCTCCGAACTGAGAACAAGGAGGTGATTTAAGAGGACCTAGTCGGTAGGTTTCTTTGGCAGAAGAACCCACTTGTGGCGTTCTCTGAGGTAGCACTAGAGAAGCTCCTGCGTTAGGGACTGGCTGTCTTGGTTATAAAAAGTTCTCCGTGTGTAAAACACTAGCTTACAGCCACATGGAATATGCTCACTTGATCCGCTCAGGTGGGAATAAGGCTGACACAGGTGGTACCAGTTGGGAATCTGCAAATATCTGTTCACACCACCAAATATATCAGATCACCGTCACCTTCCTTAGCCAGGAGCAAGGAAAAAATGTTTAAACTAAAGAGGGAATGAAATATAATTACTAAACAATCCTCCCTGCTTCTGAAGGTGCATTCTCAAATCAAGACTTTCCATAGAAGATCATTTTAACTGACACCTGAAATTTCCAGCAGTAAGGAACTCTAACATAAATGGGACTGTCCTTTAACGAACTGTCCTTGAGAACTAAGTAAAATGTGAAAAGTCATCAAGACTGCCGCGTCTTTGTGCACAGACGTGGAAAGTCTCTGTGACGCCCTCGCTATCAGAAACCCCCCAGGAGCCAGGCATGGTGGCGCACGCCTGTCATCCCAGCACTGGGGAGGCTGAGGCAGGAGGATCATTGCAAGTTCAAGATCAACCTGGGCTACAAAGTGAGCGCAAGGCCAGCCTGAACTGCAGAGCGAGACCCTGTCTCAAAAAGACAAAAAAAAGGAGCCCCCATGTGGGGGAATGACAGGGCTACATGTTCTGTCCAAAAAACCAGAGGGCAGTAAAGTCTGATGCATCAACTAACAGAAGGAGACTTTTTGCAACTTGCAAATGTTGGAGAAAATCTGGCCCCTGATTTGCTGATGGTGCAAAGGTGAATTAAAGCAGCAAGCCCTGCATCCACCTAGCTAACTTCTCTCTGGGCAGGGGATGTCCCGAGCCATTCGGATGCGAGAAGGGGCAGGAGGGGAACGATGTTAGTGAACCAGAAGGGAGAACTCGGCCATGCGGTTTCGCTAGTCCCAGGGCAAGCGACTGCAAGGGCTCTTCTGTGTCTGTCTTGTCCTGTCTGTCTGTCCAGCACAGCGATCCAGAAACACAGCCCTGCGGGAAGGTTTGGGTTGGTCTGAGTGCTTCTAGTTTCAGGCACATCTCCATGAGAAGAGCAAGAAAAGGAAAAGAGGGTCTTTCCATTTCATGGTCACCAAATACATTCTGCTAGCATCAAATCTGCCCATCAAACAGGAGGCCGTTTGCAAGAGACTTCAACATTCCCAAGAGTTTCCAGGCGAGCCTTCCGAGGCAGCAGGTTAGATGAGCAGAGGGGGAGACAGGGTTTAGCCAAACTGAGTTTTCATCCAATAATTGCAGTGCGCTTGTTTCTTTCTTCAAATGTTAGAGGTAGATGAAAGCTAAGTTTTCACTGACCAGCCATACTGTAGCCTGAACTGAGAGGTGGTAGCCTGAGGTTATTAGGGGATGGGAGGCAGAGGACACATTTTCCTACTTTTCAGAAGGATATTTTGCCCTCTGAAGGTAGGGAGCAGCCAGCCAAAGCTCTGCCTCGAGGCCTTGAAGAGCAGCCGAACAAAAGGTCACAGAGAAAGAAAGCACAGAAGGTCAAAGAGGACAAGATGGCGCCAATAATCCCAAGCAAGCATATTTTTAAACATTCACCGTTACACTATGAAACCAGGAGCAAAACACCATGTCTTGACGCTATTAGCCCAATGTTTGATTATCTCACTTAATAGCTTTTTGAGAATCATCCTGAAGAACAGCGTACTCAAATATTAAGCAAATAAAGCACACGCTTCAATTGAACTCGTCCTACTGTAGTGTATAGCGCTTTGCTAGTAGAATCATTTCAATTAAATTTCAAAGCCAAGTTATTTTCTTGTATGTAAAAGACAACATGTGACCGGTTTTTTAAATAATAATTTACCTACTATTCATAGTCTTTTCACTCACAAAAAAAGGATACAATGATACATAGAAATACATATGTACACGCATGCATATACGATACTGTATAAGGGTGTGTAAGTCAATTGGTCTATTAACACGAGAGAGATTTGTTGACTTGCTTTGGGTTCATGTTTTAAAAGTATACAATGTATTTTTATTCTGTTTTGGTTGAATAAGATGCCTAGAACCAGAGGAGAAATGGCTGAAATCTCAAAATATTTCTTCCTTTATGAGACGGAAATGGTCAGATTATCAGAGATTACCATTACTGAGATCTGCTAGAGGATTTACCCAGTAGACAGATAAGCAAGTCCCAGTTGCAAGAAATGTTACTAAAAAAGAAGGTATGTATAACATGAATAATGCCAACTCAATTCAAATGTACTATAGGACGAAAAATGCTTGTATTTACGAGCAACCCTAGACACACAAACCATCACTATGTCAATGAAAGCATTCTATATCATGCTTTGTTTATTTTATTGCTCAGTACTTTTGGGAAAGAACGTGATTCTTAATTAAAACACATACACATATGCTTTCAACTGTGAAAATTCAAAGACACTCACTGATAAAGAGCATTTACTGTTAAGCCATATAACAAGGTATGAGTTATACCTATCTGTACTGTTAAAAGCCAACTTTTGCCATAAAGAAAATGTTCTGTGTGATGTGAACTCAGTTACTTATGGGCCATCTGCTTGACCCTTGAACTGAAAAAGGGGTTTATGATTCCATAGAAAAGACCCTGGTCTGAGAGCCGGGAGTCCTCCAATTCCACCTGCAAGTTCTACTTACCATCCAGGCAACCTGGGTAGCCCCAACCTCTCCAAGTATCAGGCTCTTGCTCTTAAAAGAACAGCTGTTCCAATACCAATCCCTGCTTTGCCTGTTCTTGAGGTTTGTAAGGGCTCTTGTTCCAACAGAGTCCAACTTTTAAAGAGAGCACATGGAACTGCTTAGGTTTAGCGTTTTAATAAAATGTGGTTCCTTTTGTTCACTTTAGATCAATCTCCAAGAAAGTCATCCTAAAGATAAAACAACCATTCTTGCTTTGCTTTGCTTTCCTGGCAAAATAAGGTTTGTGTCTCATGTATGCAGATGTTTATCTCGTTTCATCATTTGTGTTTCATAATCAAAAGGTTAAACACTGGTTAAACATCAAAGGCAGATTTTAAAAAAAGAGTATCAGATTTATATGACTTCAGTGATTTAAGACAAAAATGGTTCCACATCGCCATTAATTTCTAGTGTTTAAAAAGAACCACTGAACTGGCATTAAAGCAGGAATACTGATGGATCCTTGTTCTTTACTTTCTCTATTTAAACATGCTGTAATCTGTTTAAAAATACATAAACCAAGATACATTTATCTGCATCTCCAACTCATTTTTATGCTGAACACGCTGAATTTAACGAAGGCAACAGTGGTATCATAGGTTATCAGAGAATTAGAGGCAGTTTCCATCAACAGAGTTTTTAAAATAACTTCTCAGTTGACATTGTTACTACATTAATGTACAACTCATTACCCTGATTTTTTTTAAAAAGATGGAAAACACAATATTTAAAAGTTTTGATTTATAGAATTCACCATTTTTTTTTTTTTTTTTTTTTTTTTTTTTTTTTTTGTTTTGTTTTTCTCCGGCACTGGGAACCGAACTCACGACCTTGCGCTTGCCAGGCAGGCGCTTTGCCGCTGAGCTAAATCCCCAGCCCCTGATTTCACCATATTTTTAAATGATCTATGTTTAGATGTTTCTGTCTTGGATGAGAAAAGAACATAATAAAATACAGTGGTGCCTCGGTTCATGAACCCTTTTGTTTGCAAACAGTTTGGTTCGAAAACAGAAGCATTTCACGAAATTTTGTTCTTGTTTGAAAACTCTGCACTGAGTGACAAACATGGCCACAGCCATCTTTCCCACACAAATATAAACATGGCCATCTTTTCCAAAATCACAGAACAGATTAAGTTTGTGAACCGAGGTACCACTGTACAACCAATCCTTTCCCATCTCCTGAATTTGAAGTTATCCTGGATCCTACCTTACACCAACTGTCTTCTCCTGAGGTGGCTAAGTGTTGATAAAAGGGTGTCACACAAGTCTGCTAGTCGGATTTGTTCAGTAGTTAAGCATTCATTTTACCTTTGGGGGGTGATGGATATGTCTATCCTCTTTAATATGGTGATGCTTTCACAGTACAAATGCCAGTGTCAAAATTTATCAAATAAAAAAATGCCCAGGAGTCTAACATATACGAGTAACAGATACTGACTGTATCTGCTAAGGCTACTGGGATCGCTTAGCTAACCTACTCTCTCTGAATGGCATAATCATTTTAAGAGTGTTGAAATGCAGGTGGCATGTTTTATATCAAGTTTCATATCAATAGTCCTTTCCACTCTTTCCAATGATGGTGGCTGCCAACCCTTCCCAAGCTTCCTCCTCCTTGAGACCTACAAGGCTGAATCCACCCCATTTCCCATTGCCATCAAGTTGAGGATGTTTCGATATCAAAGCAATCTGAAAGTCGCTGTAAGAGAAAGTTCATGTAAGAGAAACCCATATGTCTAAGATGTATTTAAATGTGTTTAGTCTTGTTATTGACTATGTATAAATCTTCTAGACAAGAAGACCTTCTAGACTGCACAAATCCTAAAACCAGGTCAGTGCACCAAGTAGCCTGGGACGGAGGTTCTGCTGAGGCAGATGATAAACTACTAACCTCAGGACCGAAGGGGCCGTACTTGTGTCCAGAGACATCAGGCTGTTCAGAATAGAAGGCATAGACTGATGGCCTACGGGAAAATTAGAAGATTCAGAATCTCCCTCAAATCACACAGAACAAATATCACTAAGCGCGTGCGCACACGCACACACACACACACACACACACACAGAGTCCATGGGAAACTTTTCTTTTTCTATTATTCCCACACCCTCTAGACCACCCCTGCTGTGGTCACTGGCTGGCACCACCTTGAGGAATCAAAAGTCACACAGGAAAATGTGAACACACTCTCGGGTCTTTGATCCCCAGTATCACAGAGCCCAGCGATAGTTCATGCAGGCCTTCCCATCTGCAGCCTGAAGGAACCAATCTAGCCCAGGGCAAAGTCAGTCTTAACCCCACTCTACCTCTGAGGTGCCGATGATTCACTCACTAACACCAGAACGCCCTCCCACTCTCTGTATAAAGAGCTGTAGCAATCCGCGTAACTCCGTGATGTCCAACAACCCATCCTTCTTAAGGAAATATAATGTTCCCATAGCCATGAAACTTTTGACACTGCCAGTCCCTGGCACCTATGGCATGGTCCATTTAGTGTTTCACCCATTCTGACCCAAGCTGGAGAAGTACAGAAGAAGGACGAGAGCCCCAGGAGAGCGTACCTCTCATTGTCCGGCAGGGAGAGCCACTGCAGGATGGTCAAGATCCTCCGCTCGTGGGGAATGGCACTGTGGGGACACACCAGCAACCCGGCTTGTTAGCCTGCTCTGCCCCAAGTGCACTGCCCCAGGCCAAGTGCTCTCCATCTCCCAGCACCTGTTTTAACTTCGCTGTAGTAAAAGCTCCTCCGAATTAGCATTCAGACTCCTATTTCCATATGCGACACACCCCATCGCTCAACCCCTCCCCCAGAAGACTCCGCTGGAAATTTTGATTCAAGAGCTAAATGAAGAACCTGTCTTGCTAAAATGCTGAAACTCTGCTCCCTGCAGGGAGGGTCCTGGCCGCAGGATCACTGTCCTTTATTAGTCCAGCAGTTCGCTGTGGCTAAAGAGGGCCAATACTTAACACCCTCAATCTGCCTCTTGGTGGCATTTTGACCTCTCCCAGCCTCCGTACATTCATTAGAAAAAATGGAGACAATGGCAAAGCACCACCCAGCTTGCTCACAGAGATGAAATGAAACATAGCAAGCAAGCACCTCATACACAGGAAGTGCTTAACAAAAATGCTTGGTTTATTCATGATCCGAATGAGGTATCACTCTGCTGCTCAATAGCTGCATGACTTTAGAAACACTAACCCGAAACTTTAAGTTCCTCCTCTATAAAATAATGGGTTAGGGGAGGTAGCCTTGAAATTCTCTTCCAGCTCTATAAAAACCTATCGAGAAGAGACACATGTAATTATAAGACTGCCCAAGATTATACAATCTTCATCCACAATGGCTTTGTGTTTAAGCCTCATTCCTCTGTTGGAATATAATTACCCTAAGTCTGGCATGAGCTTCAAGAGCTCTCAGCTAACACAACAGTGCCGGACGCTGGGCTGGGTCACCGTAGGGTGCTCAGCAGCTGAGCGGTATCTTGACTCGTAGTGAAATCCGTTTACTCCGTGTTAACAAGGAGCACAGAATGCTCTTCTGCTCACCCACTCACAGCCAGGCATTCGACACACGTTCACGGCAAAATCAAGCTAAAACCCAGTTTGATCGTGGTGAGCAAGAACTGCAGGGGATGCTGGGTGAGCCCATGATGCCTTCACTTCAGGAAACAGGAGCAAGAGAGCGCGGAGAAAGCTGGGCCCTCAGAGGCACGCGGACGGTTGGCATCCGCTCGGTGTAGAGTTATACAAAACTAGAAAACCATGCTCACTGTTTACCAAAAGCTGAGCCCTGATGTAAACATATTCCAGTGCTATTGAGTAAATGTGACCCTGTTTATTATATCCTATAACTGAATTAGAAAAAGGCATAACAAAGCCAAGTTAATCACTCAAGGAATTTAATTCTTCAGCCTTAGAAATCCCTTGTATCTGAACAAAATAATTACAATTGCATAGCTTGAATTCTTTCCTAACTTAAAAAAGAAAGCCAATGTCAGAACCTTTTCATTACACCCTACTTCACTGCCTACCCAAAAGCTGATTTATTTTATGTGATTGGGGGGAAGCCACAGATGAGAACTCCAATGAACCCACTTCTGATGCGAGTGCAAAAATGCAGGCTGATAAAATTTGTGTGGAGCCCAGAATGTTCACCTTCAGCACCCTTGCTTGATGGGATACTTGAACCATAATAGAAAGACATTGAAAACACCAGCTCAGCAGCCCAAATCCATGGGTTTGAATCCTGGCTTCTGAGAGGGGCGTTGGTGAGACTGTGGCAAGTCAGCTAACCTACCGGTGCCTCTATGAAATGATAGCCGGAGCACATACTTAGAGACAGTTGTAAGGATTAAAAGGGATAATCTATGTAAAGTACTTAAAATAGTTCCTGGCACATAGAAAGGGTTCATAAAAATATTGGATTTTACTATCGTGTGCTGGATTTATAGATCCGCAGAGATGGCACATTCATCCATGAAGTACAGTGGTGCTTTGGTTCACGAACTTCTATGATTCTGGGAAAGACGCTGTGGTTGTGGTCGTCACCTGGCGTGGAGTTCGAGAATGGAGGAAAAATTTTGCCCAATGTTTCCATTCAGGAGCCAAATCGTTTGTGAACAGAAGCGTTCATAAATCGAGGTATTACTGTATTTGTTAAAGGCATGGCATTCTTAAGGCATACGTGTAGACATAAAGATACAAGATACTCCCACCAAAAACGCTAGACAGAAGAGCCACTCTCCTCGTCTTGGGGAAGATAAGCAGCTTACAGTTCCCTGGGCAGAGGCTGGTTGCATGTGTGTGCATATGTGTGTGTGTTAGGGGTGTTAGATGAAGACTGAGGTCTGAGGGTCCATCTTAGATGTGACCTTGGACAGGGGCAAAATGGGCAAGGTGGTCCCTAAATTTCCTAGATTATCCTTATGAAATTACCTCGCCCACCCATGAGACATATCCCTTAGTCACTAGGCTTGCAAATACAGTGCAGAGACAGCACAAATAAACCTGACCAAGGGAGGAAAAAGCCAAAGCAGAGGAAAATAGGACGCACGTCACTATCTTTGCCGTCACTGACTGAGGCAGAATTTGGCACAAGATCGAATACATTAGACGTGGTCCCAAAAAGGGAAAAGTTGAAAATGAAGGACTGGATGAGATACCCAGTCATATAGGGGAACAAATTATTTCGGAATGTAGAGAGAGACACATTGTCTAGTCAAAGTTGAAAGAGAGAACACAAATAAGAAAGCAGTTCCATACATTGGTTGTTCTCCAATAAGCATGTCAAATGTGCTAACTTATTCTATCTTAGCACCACTCGGTGATGAAGGTACTGTGATTCTCGTTTTAAGATTCATTTGTTGAAAGATTAAATCACTCGCCAAAGGTTAGCAAGCTCATAAACAGCAGACCTGGGATTAGGCTGAATCCAAACACTCATACAAAATGGGAATTACTGCCCTGACATAAAAATGTAACAGAGCATCAACAGAGCATGACTTTGGAATGAAATACAGTCATTAAAAAATAAGGCAAGAATAGACTTTTAGGCTGCCCTACAGAACCATGTGGAAAGACGGCCTTCCGACTCGAAGTCTGAATTCAGATCTAAATAAAGATGTTTCAGAACGTACCGGTGTAGATGTCCTTGACAATCGTCCCTTCCATGACTGGAAGAACGATCCTATTTTTTAAATTATAAGAAGTTTCAAAAAAAAAAAAAGGGGGGGAAAAAAAACTGAACGCAAGTCGCTTCCAGGACACAGCAATAAAAGAATAGTCTGAGAAGCACAGCAAACGACGGAGCTCTTCGTAGCACACAAAAGCCACCTTCTTACGAGTGGTTTCACATGGGTGGAGAAAATTGTCATTCAGAGCCAGAACACTGGCCCTTTTCACAGCAGCTGTGCAGCGGTGTCAGGGGCAGGGGTGGGGACCCAGGATTAATTATGTTGCTGGCTTCTGTCCATCCTGCCCAGCAAATGTGTTGCAGAGCAAAAGGAATCGCTTCTCTAAGCATCTCTGACAGTCAAAGGTTTATGGAGAGGTAATGCCTGAGATTAAATCGGTACATCGCACACCACCTACACGAAACAGTATCATTTCTAACAGACCCACAAGCATTTCTCAACTCGAGACTTCTTAAAAAAAAAAAAAGGAAAAAAATTTTAAAGAGACTCCCTGTCTCCACTTCAAATCATTAGACCCAATTTCAATTTAGCCCTTCAGATGTGAAAAAGCAGCTATTATTCCTGTGTGGAGACTATAGACACACCTTCCGGGATGCAGCTGAGCCTGTGGCTGCTCTCGGCGCATTGCTGTTATAGAATAATCAGATTTTTGTTAGGTCATAAGAGGCAAATACAGAAACAGCTTTAGGTGGTTTGGGGGGAGGGAGATGGAAAGAACATCTCAGTGGGAACCAAATCCCCGTGAAAGTTGAAACAGATCCCGTCTCTTACTGAGGAGCCTTAAAAGTAATCAACATGTTGACACTTTTACTAGGTACATTTCATCTCGATAAACATTAGCTAACCCCCTCCCCACCCCTCCGCAGGGGCAACCCATTTTCCTATTAGGGGCGGGCTGAGCTGGGTGGCAAAATGGGGTGAAAATAGAGGGCTGCCCGGTCTCCTCTTGGAACTTCCAATCTCTGGACCACTCACCCAGATGCCGGAGACCACACTGGATTTTTAAGATTGTGAACCAAGAGGAATATAACATAGAAAATGCAAACCATAGCAATAAATAAAAGGAATATACATTCCCAAGGTGGCAAGTTGCCAAAAAGCTATAAAGAGAGACAGAAAGATCTCAAGAGAAGCTAGAAGAAAAGACAACCTTCCATTCTTAAAGGAAGGGGAAAGGAGAGAGAAAGAGAGGGCTGGAGGGGGAGGCAGAGACAGGAACAGAGGGAGCTCAGAAGATCAAACGCCTAGAAAGTAATTTTGAATCCATAAATACACAAAAGCTTGGTATTTTTACATTTGACTGAAATGAAATCTACATTGAATTGATGTTTCACAAGTGTAATCACTCACAACATAACTCTATAAGCACTGGTGAAATAAAGGTTACTTACATCGACCAGAAGAATGTTCCAGCTCTCACCCCTTGCTTGATGGCTGTAATCCATAGCTAATGAGGAAAATATAAGAGGCTTATAATACGTTCTGAGTTTCGGTCAAAGAAGAAGACGTTTGAAAAACATATTAGATCTGATATCTTATACTCTGCTCACGCTCCACCATACATTTTATATTATTTGCAAGCCTTTTTATTCACATCTGGAAGTCAGAAGGGTTATTTCCATGAGTGTCATTCAATACGTTCTCTGCAAAAGCTCTCAAAAGCTCTGCTGATTCCAGTGACATTTGCTTAAAACCCTTATTTCATCTCGAAAGTCTCTCTCTCTCTCTTCTGTACCTGTCTTTTCAGATGGTTGCTTTGAGCATTTCACTCATGGGCAGGACCCTGCTCACCAAAGGGACCAGGAGTGGACCAGATGTTCCCTCAGCTATTGAAAGCCCACAGAGGGTCCCAGTCTGGCACCCAGACACCCGAATGTGAGAGCCAGGCTGGTCTTGTTTGACTTTAAACCACACGAAGAGGAAGAAGATGATGAAGCAAGGTTACTTTTCAATGGAGATTTTTTTTTTCCTACATCTTTTACCTTGCCTTCTGTAAAGGGGGTTTCCTGGGACAAGTTCGGTGAACTAAGCGTTCTATTAAGTCTTTTAAAATCATCTTTATACCTCATGTTGCAGAAGGGGAAAAGATAAAAAATTCAGACCCAAGCTCTACAACCAGCCAGCCTGGATTTTAAAGGCTGTTTCAATCCCTCACCAACCACGCATTACTTAACCTCTGTGCCTCAGGTCCATTGTAATGTAGAGAATATTTTCTAGCACATGAAATTACTGTACACTTTAATGAGTTCACATATTCAAAGCCTTAAACCAGTGCCTTAGCAGTTGGCAAACGTTCGATCTCAGTCTTTATTATTATGTAATAATGGAAATAAATGAAATCCAGTTATTCCAGGAATATTAAAAACAGCTTAGGATGGCCAGGATCCCACGAACAGAAGTCTGTGATAGGAAACCTCTCACTTAAAGGAAAGGAGGGAGAAGGGCAGACTGTTTGTTAAGAGACTGAAGAAAAACTCTCCTAGGAAGTACAACCAGTCCAGCTTCCCTGCTCCCACATTTTGAAAGTATCTTGTAACCCCAGGGAAAACCTTTATTTGTGGTGGGAATGCGTAACCAGGAGGTGTAGGATATCCAGGAGCAGAGCCATGGTTGCAAAAGGTATGCAGTGCTGGGTGTGGGGAGCTTTTTAAAAGAATCCCAGACTCCTGGGACGCCTAAAAATGTTCACCCCCCAAATCACAGCTGGCACGTGAAACGTAGGTGGGGGAGCACAACACAGGCCCTCAAATCCCCGGAGCTCTGAGCAGCCAGCAGACCTCATCCACAAGGGAGGGCAGGTCCCCGTCCCAGCCTCGTGGCTCCTGCCAAGCCAGGTTCTCTGAGATGATGCAGAGACGGGAGTTGCAGGTTATCTGAGCGCCCTCCCTCACGTCAGTGCAAAGCACCTTTCCTCTTTATGGATGAAGGCTGACATGGCCCAAGAGAGGCCAAAGCATGTCCTAGTTGGTGGGAACGTAAACTAACACAACCACTATGGAAACCAGTATGGAGATTCTAAAACTAGAAATTCCATGCAACCCAGCTGTTCCTCTTCTAGGAATCTTCCCAGAAGAGTTAGCAACATCGTACAGCACAACTCAAAAGAGCTAAATCTTGGAAGCAGCCTATATGTCCATCAACAGATGAATGGAGAAAGAAAATGTGATATTTATACACAATGGAGTACTACTCTGCCATAAAGAATATATTTGAGTCATTTGTAGGAAAATGGATGCAACTCAAGACTGTAATGCTAAGTGAAATAAATCAGGCACACAAGCTTAAATATTGCAGGTTTCTCTTCAATGAGAAATCCAAACTATAAACAAATAAAAGAGCAAAATCAAAGATAGATAACAGGAAACAGGGAGATAGATCTTCTGCAAAAAGAAGGAACCAAGACATAGAGGGAGAGGGAAGGCGGACAGGAGAAAGAGGTGTAAAAATAATGAAGACATGTTATGTGCACAGACCAGCTCCCCGTGATGAATGTAACAGTTGTACTGCAAACACGGACCAGTAAAAATATTTTTTAATGTGTCCTTGACACTCACCCATCCTTGTCCCCGCATTGCCACCAGCAAAACGAGCTCAAGTTCAGTGCCCTTCACCCTGCCGCTGCCTCAAAACCCAGCCAATCCCCAGGGAAGCCAGGATCTTACACTACAGCGTTGAGTTTTGCACTTTAATTTCCTGGCACAAGCTTGGTGGATTCATACCCAAAGAACTTCCCGGGAAATCTGGGACCTTGCTATTTCCAAGGAAATCACACCAGCAAATAGTTGAGATGTATAAAATGCAAGCTCAGTCTGGGGTTTTCCAAAGGGAAAAAAGTTTTCGTACAAATCTGTCAAATGAGGACACTTTTCAAAATTTTGTTGCAAGACACACGCTGATGTTGGCATCATCTGTAGGGGTAACTCTGAGCTCAGGCTCCCTTGGGACAGGAAGGTCACCAGAAGGGGTCTTTGCAGCGTTCAAAGGACGCACATAGGTGGCAAGTAAGTGTGGCAAAGTGATCCTGTTGGTCTGACTGGGCAGCACCGCCATGCCCAGGAAGTGGAGGGAAGACAGGACCCCGGAGGGGGCTGAGAAGGAGGTTTAGTGACCAGGCCTGGATGCCAGGTGGCAAGAGCGTGAGTCTGCCCCTCAGCGATCTGCCTCCACCTGCTACCCCTCCGTGACACTCCCTGTGTCCCCAGAAGGCTCCTGAGTTCTCAGGCCCCTGACTATGCATGTGGGAGCTCACAGGGCATTGTTTCTGCCGGTTAAAACACTCCTAGGGCAAAACTCAGGTTTGTTCTTCATGCTTTTCTGTGCTTTGCAAAAAGTTTACTGTAACAGCATAATTATAATCAGAGAAAACTAACATGCAAATTAGGGAAACAACTTAGAGATCACAAGTATCTTTCTACAGAGAAAAGCAGCAGAAAAAAATCTCCCTACTTCTTTATAAACACCACATTACCTATATTTTCTGAAAGAAAATGGGGAGCATGGTCAAAAGAGAACAAAAAGTGAACGAATAAGAGAGACTGCTTGAAATTAAAAAGATTTAAAATCTCAATGTCTACGCAATAGAGTACTACACTGCTGTAAAGAAGGATATGCTCGAGTGACTTTGGGAAAATGGAGGCACTTGAGACCATCGTGGTAAGGAAACTAAATCAGACCCTGAGCCTCAATAGCACATGGTTTCCTCTATGAGAAACGCAAAGCCTACATAAATTAAAGAGCAAAGTAAAAGACGGATAATAAGAAACAGGGAGACAGATCTCTTACAAATCAGGAGGGGACCAAGAGATGGAGGGAGGGGGAAAGGAGAGCAGGAAAGGGAAGTAAAGAGAGTGAAGACGAGTGGTGTCCAGGCACCACCCCCCACGAGGGTGGGGCCATCACATACCGCAAACGCGGACTGACAAAGATAATTCTGCCTTCAGATCTCGACCTGAACCACCCCAGCACCACACTGGTGAAGCTCGTCTGTCAAGGGTTGGTAAACGGTGCAAGACTGAAACACAGAGGAAGCTCTGAGTTCACATCACTGGCCGTTACAAATGTTCCTGTGCGGGTCACTGTACACAACGCGTTTCGGGGTCGGAAGTCACATGGAGTCATTCCCCAGGGGAAGGCACGGGAATGCTGCTCCAAAAGAACGAAAGTGGTAACAATCCCCAGGACTGTAGAAGAGAGAAACAGAGAGAGAGCCAGAGAGCAGCAGATAGAGCAGAGAGACAGAGAGGGAGAGACAGAGACAGAGAAAGAGAGACAGAGAGACGAGAGAGAGACTCCCTGGTTCCTTGGTAACTCAGAGAAGTGGGAGTTTTGGCCTCTAAATTTGA